GGCCACCAGTCCTGAGTCGGGAATGAGTGGTCGTGAATGCTGGCCCTCAGTCTGGACCACTCATCTGTGACTATTTCGTGGGTGTGTAAGAGGTTGGTCCCTAGTAAAAGGGGAGGTTCCAGGTTCCCTGCCCCAAGGACTGAACAAACCTTTATGAACACATCCCAGCACCAGGCCAACAGGAGCCAGGGACAGCGCCCAGAAGAGGACCCAGGTCCTGCCCTCAGGAGAGGGTGGGCAGGAAAAAAAGACCGACTCTTCAGCCATCTATTAGCCAGAAGAAATTCCAGGGAATGAAAACCCATTTCAACTTGGGCCAGAACAGAACCTTCAGGTGACACTTGCTGCCAAGACAACCCAGGGAGCAGGCAGCATCACCTCTGTGGGTTTCCTCGCCCCAAGCTCTGGCAGTGCTGCTGTTACCCCTGTTTTGACACAGGAAGACTCAAGAAGTTAAGACCTTGCCCAGGGTCTTGGCAGCGGGGCTGGGACTGAAGCGGTTCGGGCTCGCTGACTCAGGCTTGCGGCTTCACACGCCCTGCTGTCCACAGCTGCTCCGAAGCCAGGGAGCGGGCCCTCTTCTCTGCATTTTCCAGGCTCCATGGCTAATAAACGGAGCACTGCCTGTCCAGTGGGTGGTCTCGACAGGATAGATGTGACACCCCATCCAGTGTGTCGTGCTTTGCTGAGGAACGATTGATTATGGCCAATCCATTTACCCCGTGAGTTTGCTGATTCCCTCTGGACTCCTGCTGAGGTGGCGCTGGTGACTGTACTTAACTGAGGCCAGGCTAGAGGTAAATGACAACACTGGGGGCCTAAGCAATGCAAGGAAGTGTAAGGGTGGGAAGCCTGCCTGAAAGGAGAGGTAGAAGGCGGCAGACTGAAACTGACAGCTTAATTCCTCCCCCAGGCTCATTTTATGTTAATTAGGGCATGCAGATCAGCCAGGAGTTCCTTCACTCCATCCCTAACTTGGGCCTCACACCTGGCCAGTTCTCTGGCAGGTATGTCCCTGTCCCCCAGTTGGCCAGGGCATCTGCTTGGGGGCCCTACCTATGTCCTTGTGACCCTGTGGCCAGTGTCCTGTGGGAGTGGGGGTGTGAGTGCAATATCCCTCACATTATTCAAGGGTCAACTGTATTTTGCAAACTCTGAAGCCATTCACACTCTAAACCCTTGAGGTTCCCAAGGGTCCACTAGCATCTATGAAAAACCTGGCTACCTTAGAGTCACCTGAGGAACTTAAAAAAAATGCAAATACTTAGATTCCCAGCCAGCTTCCTTCCCTCCCCTGCAACCTCCTCCCCCCACCCCCAATTGCTGAAAAAAACGTAGGTTTGCTGCAAAGAAAGCGGAGGATGGTGATAGACCTAGGCCTCCCAGTTAGAGTACATGACTGCGAACTTGGGCCAGATGCATCAAGCCCTCAGTTGATGTTGGTACATAAGTGAGCGTGATTGTGTCCACAGGTAAGCGGACATAGTATTTGCATGGAGCTCCTGTATCCACTTCACAGACGATTACTGACCACCTGGCCTCCTCAGCTCATTGCATAGGGCCACTGTAACACGTCAACACAAACGCCACATCTACACTTCCTGGAGGTCAGCAGCGTCACACTCCCTCCAGAGTTTTAGGCAACTTGTCCTTTGCCTCTCTCAGCCTCGGGTGGCCACTGACACCCTTAGCTTGCGGCCACATCATGGCAACCTCTGCCTCCTGTGCACAGCACCTGCGTGAGTTGCACTCTCACCCCTGTGCTTTCTGAACAGGGGGGACAAAGCCACAAGCTTGGGGTCCCGAGCTGCAGGCTCTACAAACTGAGCCAGAGAGCCAGGCAGGAACGACTGTGGCCAACCCATCAGGGCCCTGTTGGGTCTGGACCAGCCTGTGGCGTTATAAATGCATCCCTCCCTGTCTCTCCAGACTAGGTGGGAGGAGTCCCCGCCCGGCTTCCAGGCTGGGCTCCCAGTATTCCTCTCTCCCCTTTCCAGCCCCTCACACCTGGAACCCCTTTCACAGAAAGCACAGGGGACTCCTCTCTCAAGGACTTCCTCTTACCCTCCTTCACATTGCGTTCTGAATGAAATTTGTCCTGAGGAAGAGACCCGGTTCAGCCATGTTGCCACTGCTCCCTAATGCCCTGGTGTGGAAGGGGCACCTGTGTCACCCCAACATTTCCTACATCCAGAAAGCCATGGTGAGAGCACTGTATCTGGAGACAAATAGGATATGAGACCCACTTCTGCTGTGAAAACTGGAGCATCTTGCTCGAGCGCCCGAGTCTATCCAGTTGCCTGTGCGATGGAGGTACAGGGCTGCTGTGAAGCTTCAGGACACGCTGGACCAAAGGGCACGCTGGACCCAGGACGCTCGCCACCTGCCTCCAGTTCCTGCGCGGAGCAGGGGACCCATGGCCACACACACACATGCACACGCAAACACACGTGCGCGCACGCGATTAAACGAAAAAGCTTTCTCTGAGCCTTGGTCTCTTCTGTTAAATAATGTGTGTTGGTCCTTATTACCCCACAGGACTGCAGTAGGGGGCAGAGAAGGCAGTCGGTGTGACCCTATGACCCACTTCCACCCATTGTAAACACATTAGCCAGATGAGCTGCTATTCGTCAAGCGTCAACTTACACTTTTCATGGAGGGAAGACTGTGGCCCTCGACCACCCCCAATGAGTCCCCATGATGTTGTCTTGCCAATGTCCCTGAAAGTCCACTTTCTTGTCCCCACTGGAGCCCTCCGAGGCGCAGCAAAGGAGGGGGCCTGTCTTGGGGTGCCTGTCCCTGAACACAGCATGTGGGTCACCTATTAGCTGACAGAGCCACATGACTTGGCACTTGGCCTTCTGCCTCTTTTCAGGCCCCAGCAGGGGCCAAACAGCTACTTTCTACCAGGTCTCAGCAAGCACCAGAAACCCCCTCCTGCACGCTCTGCACCCTTCCTCTCCCCATCATGCCCAGATCTGAGCTGTTCTCCTTGCCACTTTCTGTTCTCTCCACTCTGGTACTGGTTCCCCCCAGCTAGCTAGAGGGAATGGAGTCCAGTTACCTATGCTGAACCTCTCTTATTCGCCCGCATTAAGAATCAACCTATTTTTTTGTCTCCCCCTCCAGACCCCCCCCCCCGCCCCACCCAGACCTCAGCCTTCTGCTCTCCCAGTCCTGGGTGAAAGCTGGAGGCCGGAGCCTGGCTCCTTCTTGGCATCAAGCGGCAGGGAGCCCAATGAAGGTAGGCTTCTCTGGGATCCTGTGACCTCCCCAGCACTCTGCCCCCTCTCTGGCAGTCCAGAGCCCTACCTTGGTAGACTCCAGGGGACCTGCTAGGCCCCATTTCCAAGCACGCCCCCCAACATCCCCTCCGGGGAGAGGGGCTACAATTGCGCCAGGCTTTTTTTTTTTTTTTAACGCACCTAGTTAGTCTTTCTGAGGACTCCCGTTTCCCTGCGCCTCAGACTGGCCCACTCATCTTTCCCTCTGCAGTTTAAAGAGCAGCTCCTCAATGAAGCCCTCCCCCACTGGGCTCAGTGGGTCACTCTCGGGTATGCAGTCCACCCCACCCCCCACCCGGGCTGTGAGTGCCTCCACAGCAGGGTACTCACTCTTCTATTCCAGCCCAGTGCACAGAGCTGTCACGCCCTTGTCTTAGTAAGTCCAGCAGTCCAGGGCTCTGCTGCTTGCCAGTCCACTGTCCACTCTCCAGCCTGCCCCCGAGAGAAAGGAGCTTCAGTTAGTCCCCCCCACCTAGCAAATACTGACCCTAACCCCTCTCCACGCTGGGTGCAGTCCCCTCCCTCCCTGGCCTGCTGATGGGGTTTCCCAGGCCAGCTATTCTAATCAGGTTGTCTGGGGAGTCCGTGTGTCCACTCACCCTAGGCCTTCAGAGCTGCCTAGAGCTCAGGCCCTTTAGCTATTCTGTGTCACTTCCTTCTTCACCGCTCATGCCCAGTGGATCCTTCTTTTCACCCTGGATGATATGACTTTTGCCTGGCCTCCACATTTCTCCCTTTTTGCTTGCTTGCGTTCCACTGGCTCATCTTTGTCCTTCTGGGCCCATCGTCTGGCCCTAGGAATAACCTACCTGAGGAGTTTTTGCCTAGGGACCCCTGCTTTGCCAGGGGTCTCCACCCTACTGGGGACATGGAGTCTGCCAGGCTCTCAAGGTCCCATTGTGATTACAGAGGGTCGGGGCAGGGCAGCCAGGAAGGAAGTTCAGAGTTGGGTGTTCAGCGCCTTCCCTGCTTCCAGTCCCACTCCTGGCTACACTCCAGACATTGTGTCCCAAAGTCTGAGCCACCAACAAGGCAGCACACACAGTCGCTTGTGCACAAGTAGTGGGGAGGACGGCAGCAGCTACAACTTCTTAAAAAGCAAAAAAACGACTTCTCTCTCCAAATGCAACTGAAATCTCTAGACTCGGTTTCCTAGCAGAAGCGCCTCCAACTTGTTACCGCACTGTCTTTCTCACATCACACACACACACACACCCCTCTTGTCACTTGCTAAAAACTCCGAGACTCTGGTGTCAGCTAGTCATCGCCATGTCCCTGACGCACAGACCAGCACGCAGAAGCACAGTATCTGGCGATGGGCCCCATAAAGATCATGAAACTACAGTTAAACGTATAAAAAATGTATTGAAAACAATAAATTCAAAATAAGAGTCACATCACTGCTTCAAACGGGAAGGTTTATTAAGTTTTTCCTTAAGAGGAACAGTCAAGCTCATGCTTCTTAAGAGAAGCAATTAGCAGGAAATGTCTGTCACACGGTGGATCCAGAGACAGGCACTGCTTGTAAGAGCAAATAACTCGCAGCCCCAATGCCCTTTCAAAGCTTGTTATCACCTGCAAAACAGGATCCATGTTGCCTTTCCAGAAGAGAACTAGGCAGCCAGTTCAAAGTCCCCAGCTATTCTCAACAAGAATATTGAAGCAAGACATGGCATTAAGATGGACTGCACATTCAACAAACCAAAGAAACTGTAGTAAGGGGGAAAAAAAAACAACACCCCATGATCAATGCAATGTCTGTATTTTCAAGAATTAGTTGCATTTTTTACATTTTTGGGGAACAGAAATGCCAAATGGTGGGTGGTTAGACTATTCAAAGTTCATATTCATTTCTTTCACTGCAAGATGGGTTCTTTCCAAATGCTGGTGAAGAACCCAGACAGTTTTCCCTTTTAAATCAGGAGCTGTCAAGAGGGACTGTTTTAACACACGTTAAGTAGCACCTTAAGTAAGTACAACCCAAATAAAAAAAAAGGTTATCTTACAAATTATTTTCCTCCAATTCTTGACAACTTCTTTACACTTTCGTTCCAGTGCACACACACACACACACACACACTTGTATATATACATAAAACTTAGGAGTATTTTAGGTCTTCTAAGTTTCTACTGTAAGTGCTCACAAAGGAAAATTATTAAGGTGATCTTTCTCTTTTATGTACTTCAGTCTGAAAAACAAAAATCAGACACACAAATGGACAAGTATGTGTACTTACAGGCAAATTACTTTAAATCAGGCAGTCCACACAATGCAGAATGTGGAGAATAGCCATAGACTAAGTAACTTATTTTAATAAAATTGGTAATTAAAAAAAAGAACAGTATCTTCCCAAGGTTTAACTTACCCCCCACCCCCACCAAGTACACTCTAAACAGTACACTGTCTTATTCAACAGTAAAAGGTGGCCAGTTATGATAGCAGATCAAGGTAGTAAATGATTAGTTCCAAGGTGTAGGGGGGAGAGAGCAAAATATTAACATCCATATTTCTGCAAACAGTCTCCAAACAACTAACTCCGGCCACATTCAATAAATTACAGTAAAATTCATAGCTTTGATAACTTTCTTATGTAACTTCCCCACCCAATTAGACTGCAACTTCTTGAAGGAAGGCCTTTATACCTCTCTGTGAAAGTATGTAGTGTTTATAAAATAGATGGTTTGAATATTTTAGTGCTCCATAACTAACTGATACTGAAGCTCCCCCTAGTGGACAGTAAAATTAGGATGCAGTCAATATTTATTGTTAGTTAAATTTCTACAACTAGATTGTTCGCAAGTACTAAACCATTTAAGTTATTTGTGTTTTAAGGGAAAAAAGAAAACTGTCAACTGTGATATGAAGCCTTCTTTAAATTATATATTACTCATATATCCAGAGCCATTGCTTTTTAAATAGCCACAAATGCTAATTTGATGTGAGTACCCAGATACTTATGAGATTCATGCATTATTTTTGAGGACGTTTTACTTCTCGTTATAAAAATATATCTCATTCTCAGGAACCTTCCCCTCTGGACCCAAGATTAGGGAGTTCACAGAGAGCCAATATAAATGCACACTTTTCTTACTTCCTAACAGGATACCTTTTCCATCTTGTTCAGCAACAGATTTCCTGAAGATACCACTATTACCTCAGATTTTACCTGGGCCTGCTCCGCATACCCCTGCATACCACAGGGAGACATTTTGCCTCACATTCTATCAACACCTTTATCCCAAGTGGATGTATACGAGGTGACAAAGAAATCTAGTACTTGGCATTCTTTTCTACCATGTTTTAATGTAAGGGGACGTAGGGTTTTATGCTAACTAGTCAAGCAGAAGGTACCTTGAAGCTACTCTTAGTGATTTCTACTTAGTCTGGCAAATAACTACATAATCTATGTAACAGATAACATTTATAAAGCTTTACTCATTTGTAAGATGTCTATAATTTTAAAAGAAATGTTTAAAAGGTGCATTTTAAAGCAGAATGACTTTAGAGGACCTTTAAAATATGATGCCCTGACCTGCACAGACTGGCACTAATGCTTCATTTTTTAAAAAAATTATTGCATTTATTAGATTTTTGGCCCCTCAATCCCAGATATATGTATAGCTGGATCAGCAGAAAGTATCAGACAACTATGTTTATTAGAAACACAGAAGAATACAATTTCCAAATATTAACAATATTTTAGCTTTTTCCTCAGGTTGATCAATTTACATTTAAAGTCTAATTTTTAATTTAGTAACTGATGGGCTGACCGCACTCCTGGAAAGTCTCAGCGAGGCATGAACACTACACTTCACGCCTAGTTGCAATGAGACAGTTATCTAGATCCCTGAGCAATGATTTAGACTTTCTAGGACTGGTCTCCTTAAAATCCAGGGACAAGGCACAGGTTTTCCTAAGCTTATTTCTTTTATTCTCTAGCACATAACCAGCAAAAAGCTGTTTTGCTCTACCTGTATGGCAAATATGTAAGTAATATCACCCTAGGTCCATGTCCTATGTAAGCCCCATCATTTGTAAAAATGGAAAAAAAGAGTCAGAGAAAGCACCACTAGTCAGCCAGCTAAAATTTTCAGGTCGCAGTTTTCCCTACTATTACTATTCTGTCATATAGAGTCAAGCAAGAGCAACTGACACCTCCTTTATATGTCTTTTCACTTTCACTCATTCCTCTCAAATTCAACTTATTATAAAGCAAATTTGAAAAACATTACATAACATTTCATTGGTGGATTTATACCCAACAAATTAACAATGACAAAGGATCCCCTTGATGAAATTACAAGCTGTAGAAGATTTGAAATAGTAAAAGTTAAACCCTGATACAGTATTAAACTTATCTTTTTACATATAAAAATAATACACAGTGGACTATTTTATTCAATAAGATACAATCTTTTAGATAAAGAGAATATACAAAACTATTCTATGTAGTCTGATGGGTTTTACTGTAGTAGGAATAAATATATCTAGAACAGAAAGTGGAAAGTCTGTTCTTATGAGAAATCACTACTTACAGGGTTTACAGCCAAGAGTTCTGCAGTACCAGTCAGAAAGGAGTTACTTCTGCATCTAAATGCTGTGATCATTATAAAATAAAGGCCTATAAGGTCTATAAACAATAAGAAAACACACAAACCAAATGAAAATGTACTAAAATTTAATCATCCATAAAAGCTGTAATTTTAATCTGACAGTAAAACACAAGAAGCAATATTAGAGTTGGTTTAGTATATTATATATTTTAGCTTTGAAAGCCATAGAAATCAGTTATCCCAGTTTTTTCCTATAAAAGACCCATTTTTCCAAAGCATTATGCACAAACAATTTTAATTAGAATATCATGACAGAATGATATTTCATAATTTTTTAAATATAAAATGAAGTCAATGACTCAAAAAAGTTATCTGCTGCAATGAGTTTGAGGGGAAATTTCATAATGTCTATTATTACAGATATAAAGTATAATGGTTCAACTTTTTAGTGCTTGACAGGGAGGAATCATGATAAAAAGGTCAATATGAAATCATCTGATTATATAGCAATATCTAACATTTGAAATGCATCCATGCTCTTTTGTATAATCATATTAGAGTCAAGTATATTTATTTTCACATCTGTTATAACTGCTATTGCAAAGGAGAAATACTATTGTCTTATTTTCCGAGAGATATACACAGAGCAATTTTTTTTCTCCAGGGAACTTGTGCAAACCAATATAAGATTTAAATTCTTCACATAATATATAAAACAGGAGAAGCCTCTTCAGATTTAGTTTTTGAAGTCTGGAATGCTGGCACTTTCCAATTAGGCAACAGTTCTTCATTCCTGTAATCTAGAATATTGAATACATACAGACGCATACAAACATGGTTAATCTCTTGATATCAGAAGATGGTAGCAAAATTAAAATAAGTAAGCAGATATCTAATAATAGGGAAAAAACAATGACTTGAGAATTGTTACCAGAAATCAAATGATAGCTATAAAACAGCTGTCTTAAGCTCCTTTTAAATATATTTACAGGGCCTTCCTGATGGCTCAAGGGGTTAAGTCTCAATACTATGAAACTATCTCAGCCACTGAGCCCTGAATTCGATCCCCGCCCAGGGAGGTGACCCACATGGCACAGCAGCCCTCTCCTGTCTCGACCACTGCTCCCCTCTGCAGTGTATTTCAGCCTGCCTGTTTTGTTCCCCACTTTTTCTCTGGTGAATCCTTTTACCTCCCACACCTCTGGCCTATACTCTAGTTTTATATGCATAAATAAATAAATCTTAAAAAGAAAATGTTTACAAAAATAGTTTTATATTGTAGCTAATGGTCCTGGCTGGAAGAAAACAGTGACTATTTCATTTCTGTCCCATGCTGATCTTATTTTGTTAATGTTCCTTTTTCATTAAGCAAATGACATTTGCCTGCATAAACCTGCCATGGGAAATTGATTATTCACCACTTTATGATTATACTTCTAATATAGGTTTAGACAAAAAATTTAGAGAATCAAAATTAGTTGTATTGTTAAACAGAAAAGAACTAGGTAAAGGAAGAATTAACTGAAGATGGATTTCTCTCCTAGCAGAGATTAGCATATTTCAACACAACTTTGCCGATAAGCACAGGCCACAGAGTTGCCCTCAAGGTGCATCTACTCTTGCTTAAGAAGCATCCATGATGCTATTTAAAGCTACCTGTATAAAAAAAAGTAAAAATAAATAAAGCTACCTGTATCTCAGTGCTATTAAAAAGGGATCAAAATAGCACTTCAAGCCTTCATCACAATCAAAAACTGCAGTATTCTGATTGCTAACGGACCTATTACTTGGTATCATCAAACATCCATAAATCTTAGGTAACTGATTAAAACAAGCTGAATTATATTTTATCTCATATTTTATGCAACCAAGATGAAAGTCTTGTTTCAGATCTAGGCCAAGATTTCTAAGGCAAGACTCACAATCACTAACTTAAGTGTACACAAATGAATTTTCACAATAGGCCAGGAGATGGCACCTCTTCCTTTAAACATAAGATAGAAGGCCATTCTTGAGAACTGACAGTTAAAGAAGGGTCTGCTAAGGTAATGGTACCCCTGAGTCAGGCACTATAAGAGTCAAACAGTGTAATCCAGAACAGGACAATTTCCCTTCCTTTGCATCCTTAGCTACACAAAATCAAACACTAGCCATTTAAGCACACTCACTTCCAGTAGGCTGAGTTATTGAGTCAAGATTTCATTAAAGCCAAGGTTTCACTAAAGCTTAGAACAACCATTTGGCCAGAAAACTTAACTCTCAAACTAGTGGCAACCTCCATGTCCTTCACTCCCTGTTCATTCTCTCTCTATCCTCATTAAAAAAGGGGGTACAGGCCTTCCCTGGTGGCGCAGCAGGTTAAAGCACAGCACTGAGAATCTAAAGCCGCTTCCGCATGAGTTCGATCCCCGCCCAGGGAGGTGACCCACATGGC